GCATTTTTACTAAAGATTGGTTTCCAAAACATTTTCACCAAAAACAATTTTAATTATTTTAAGTCACTTTCACAAGAGTCCCATTTAAAAAGCATACATGTTCATGCATATACCAAGAACTATTGAGTCCGTGAGTTGAATGAAGCTTGTCAGTTAGCATGGTGGAAGTTGATGACTTATGGCTTCAATAATTGCTATCAACCTTTATATAAAATAAATAAATAAAATTATATATATATATATGTGTATATGTATATGTATATTTACAATTTGTTTTTATATTTACAATTTGTTAGATAGCTGTACTTACCGGTATTCTGCAGAGTTCTTCATTGCATGAACCAGGAAGGTGATTAATTACAGATTAGATGCTAATAACAAATTTTAATACAAACATTTGAGATACTCTTTGCTAGTCAGCGCAGTTTGGTTTTTTAAGTTTTAAGAAATTCAAATTTCCAATAACGTAGACATCCAAGAGCTACAGAGTTGATGTACAGCAGCAAATGCACAAAAAGACAACATATAACGTGTCACTTCAGAACCATTAATGTCATGATTGCAATAAGGTTATTTTCTGATACATCATGTAACACTGTTGCTTGATTTGGATGTTAAGTATTCATTTATAAGTTAAAAAAATACCACTTCACCGCATTTGAAAATACATTCAGAAGTGAAAGTGAAACTGGAATTTATGGATGGTTAACCGGTTTTTAAATCGAATTAGTAATTAGTAATTAGAATGAACAAGTTCGATTACGACAAATATTGGAGTCCAACAAGAAGAGAGAACATAAAAACTAGAAAATTACAAAAAGAATTAAAACATGGAGATTATCAGTTCATCTTAATTGTATCTGTAATTTGAATAAAATCGATATATAAATGAAAACAATTTGGAAATTAAGGCAGAGGAGAATTCAACCTTATATTACCGAGATTTAAGTCGTAGAACAATAAGCTCCACGTACTCACGTAAACACCGAGTCATAACAAATTTCCAGTTTGAAATGAATTTTTTTGAAGGAAAGTGTATAATTGGAAAGAGTAGAAGAATCGAGAAGAAGAGTACCTGTGCGGTCTGCTCCTCCATCTCAAAATCTCTCTCGATTGAATTCTCGGAGAAATTAATCAGAGCGGCCCAGAGAGATCGTCGTCGTCCTCCTCCTCGATCAATATTCCTCAATGTATCAATGTTTGCCTCTAACTTAGAACAACTTATCAACAGAGCAGCTCATCGCCGATCGCCGTCGGAAAGCGCTCTCTCTCCTCCGTCTCTCTGTGTTTCTCTTCTGAGACTGAAATTTGTAGACGTACTGCCTCCTTCTCACTGGCTGACTGGGCGTAGTAGGTGGAACGGAGAGAAAATTAGCTAGGATTTGTATCGCCAGATCGCCCTCGGTTTCTCTCTCTCTCTCTCCAAACATCAACTCATGCATATTGGCATATTTTAATGATGCGATGATATATATGCTATTGCACTTTGTTTAATCTTTTTTCTCTCATAATTTTGACACGTCCATACTTTTATGCCTACCTTTCCGGTGGAGATTTAGGTTAAGCCGCGCAATAAATACAAAATTATGGTGCAGAATATACTAAAAGAAGCGTTATTAATATTTCAAAAATCTCATTTTACATTCCTCACAAGTGTATTTTTCTTTCTAAATATAGAAAGTTTGAAGTTTAGAATAAGATTTTTGAAATACCAATAAAAATTTCCTACATTAAATCGTAATATTAATGACTCCTCTCTTTGATTTATTTATTGTCCGAGTCATATTTGTTTTATATTTTGCCACTCTAAAACATAAGAAGTCTATCGATCCAAGTGCTGGTTCAGTCAATTAATCTAAGAAAAATGTTAAGAGAACTCTCTTTAACGTCAATTCTCGTGTTAATATTATAAAAAAGTATGTTAAGAATGACTCTCACATTAATGAGAGGAAAGACCATTCATGTGCTTATAAATAGTTAGGCTACTCCCTATAATATTAATTGATTTCATGATAAAATCTTAATTTTCTTCAGTGTCAAAAAGTCTATAAATAATCATATTTTAAAAGTGTCTTCTTCGTATTTCTCTTAATGTATAATATATTTTCAATTATTGTATATAATTCTGATTTGGTAGTACTTCCCAATCCATCGCGCACATATTCTATTCATTATTTTCTGTGAAATCGGGAATCACCTCATGCATTGTTGAATTTTTTTATTTTAAATGAGACCGGTTTGTAGCTTTGTCATGATAGGCATTTCAGTCTCTCTCAGATCATCATCATTATTTCAGTCTCTCTCAGATCATCATCATTATTTCAGTCTCTCTCTGATCATCATCGTGTGACTCATTAATGCTAAAAAAACATTGCTTATATTTTATGTATTTCTAGCAAGTGGACTACCGCATAACATAATTTAGTTACATAATGTAGCATATATGTAGTGGAACATGAATGTACGTGCGCCACTTCCTATTAAGTTTGAATGCTTTCACCGATTTCTGCTCAGTTTGGTAAACAATCGTTATTTGAAGAAATGACCTAATTGAAACTGATGGGATTTTTGGCACGAATTATAATTGATAACTCAGTATGATAAATCTGAAGTCTTATGTTTCTCCAATTTAATTATCAAATATATATTTTTTTATCAACGTAGAACTTTGAATGGTTGTATTTATTCAATAATTTCTTGAAACAAATTTTTTATTTATTAAAATACTAGTAAAAAAAGGGAGTCACTATTAAACTAATCAAAAGTAAATTTGACTCCTAACCACAAACACTTCAAGTTCAGTCAGCGCATAACACTTCAATTGAAAAGACATTTATGTCAAATATGACAGTAACATCCTCATCTAAAATTTAACATATGCTTAGAGATGCACTGAACATTTTGATTAAAACTTTCAATTAAAATAGATAAATTCAGTTGTTTATAGTGACTATTTTGGAAAAGAAAACTGAAAAGTTTGTAATTTTTCTTCAAGAATTTGTGGCTATTAAGTACTGGTTTGGTACTGAGGTGCTTTTATAAAAAATGGGTATAAAAAAAAGCTGAACTAAAAAAAGTGTTTGGTAAACACTTAAAAACAGCTTATTTTCACAGTTTTTGGTGAAAATAGCTGAAAACGTGAAACATAAAAAATGAACTTATTCTCACAACACAGCAGAAGCAATTTTTTTTCTTCAAATTACAACAATACCAAATCAGCCCTAAATAATTTGAAAAAAGGGTAAATTACATTTTCATACCTCAGGTTTGGGGCCTATTTCAATTCATTACAACATCTTCAAAACATTTGACTTTCATACCTCAAGTACTATTTTATTTCAAAATAATACATCCGTTACATTTTTCCATCCATTGATTCGTTAAGTGCTGACGTGGCTGCCAAATGTCTGCCACGTGGCAATTTTTTTTTTTTTTTAATAAACCTAAATCTATAAAATAAAAAAAAATAAAAAAAACCTGAACCCCATTCCCTTTCCCCTTCCCCGCAACCCCCTACCCAAACCCTAAATCCCATGTCTTCTCCGATCCACTCTTCCCTGTTCACCTCCCCGATCCACTACCCATTAGTCTAGCTGCTTTTGTCCCTCCTTTATTTCCTCGCTTTGGAAACTCTTCCCAGAGCTCTCTCTTAAACCCTTTTAAACCCCCACCTTCTCCCTCTGTGACCGTTCACCGCCGCTCACCCCTAGTCACAATGTCGTAGTCCATACATCTCCTCACCTCGTCCAACCTCGCCATCTCAAAGCACCACTCCTCCTTCCTCTCCAACTTCAATCGCCGGTTGCCGGTCATCACCACCACCACCAAAACCACCGCCATTTCTTTCCCAAAGCTCTCCATCAGAGCCTCCTCTTCCGATCCCGAGCCTTCCGTTCTCGTTACCGACAGCGACACGTCATCCTCGGGGCTCCAATCCCCTCTTTCGCACTCCAACCATGCTTTCTCCAACCCCATCGAGGTCGACGCCGTCACCGAAGTTGAGCTTCAGGAGAACGAATTCTGTTCTACCAGGTGCACCAAGCTCGTATGCACCATCGGCCCCGCCACCTTTAGATTCGACCAGCTCAAATCTCTCGCCCATTAGGGTATGAACGTAGTGTGCTAGGGTGGAGAAAACGAAGTGGGTCGGGGAGGTGAACAGGGAAGAGTGGATCAGAGAAGACATGGGATTTAGGGTTTGGGTTAGGGGTTACGGGGAAGGAGAAAGGAATGGGGTTCAGGTTTTTTTATTTTTTATTTTTTAATATTTAGAAGATTTAGGTTTATTAAAAAAAATTAAAAAATTATTATTTTTTGCCATGTGGCAAACATTTGGTAGCCACGTGGCATATATGTGGTAGTCACGTCAGCACTTAACAGATCAATGGATGAAAAATGTAATGAGGTATTATTTTGAAATAAAATAGTACTTAAAGTATGAAAGTGAAATGTTTTGAAGATATTGTAAGGAATTAAAATAGATCACAAACATGAGATATAAAAATGTAATTTATCCTTGAAAAGACGGGTTACAAAAATAATGTGAACTCCTCCGAAACAAAAATTGGGAAGAATGCATTGGTAAGCACAACGAGGGGCGATTGGTTTAAATGTCAACGGCAGTCAATCCAAAGGCTTCTGCCATGCACACGCGGCATACATGAAAACCAAAACAGCCTGCCCTTTTTTCACCCTTTTTTCCCCTTCTGCTTTTCTGTTGGTGCTTCAATTAATTTGTCTCCTCTTTAATTTTGTGCTACACAAATTGCATACGTCTTTGCTTTTGCCTAGTGCCTAAGTGGTACACCAATTAATGTGGGGATCTAGGGGGCCGAGCCCATGGCCCAAACAGAGGGCCCATTTTCACAGCCTATCCCCTTTGGCCCACCTACTTTATAGGCCCACATGGAAAAACAATAAAGATTCCAGATGTACATCAGTTGGAGGTAATTTGGTAGGGACTGTCAATATGACCATGCATTAAATAACGCAATTTCACAAACAGGTAAATCTTCAATTTTCACTAAATAAATGTATCAACTCTCAATCTCATCAACCAATAACAAAACTCTGCTGACCTCTCACTGTGGCGATAAACGCGTTTCATGTAAATTTTTCTTTAATATGCAAAAACAAGAAACAAGAATTAAATCATAGAACCTTTACACCAAGTGCGACACTCTACAATGCGTAGTACAAGAATCACGGTTCAAACCCAAAAGAATCAGAATACATGATTAAGTTTAATCCGCCACGTTAATTACTTTACCAATCACTCATGATCAAATGCTCAAGTGTTCTTCTCTTGGCAGGCTCTGAACGGTATCCGACCATCTCCCCGGCGAGTGATCACTGCTGTTGGAAGACACGTGACCCGCCGCTCTAGCATCCCTTATCATCCTTAGAACATCTCTCATCGCTGGTCGGTTCTCCGGTGATAGCGCAACACAAGCCATTGCTATGTTAAGAAGTGCCTGCAGCTTCTCCTCTGATGTCTCATTCCCCGAGGCAGGGTCATCCCCTGACTCTGTCTCTTCTTCGCGCACCGAGCGGACCCACCTAGGGATGTCCGAACCATGTTCCTGGACAAGGTCTTGGAAGGGAGTCTTTCCGGTTAGGAGCTCCAGGAGGAGGACGCCAAAGCTGTACACATCGGCTGGTTGGGTGGATGGTTTTCTGATGTCGCGGCATTCTGGTGCTCTATAAAAGAGAGTGGTTGCGCTAGGTTCTTCGAGTGAATTCGGATCTCGGAATAACGTGAGACCATAATCCGTCAAGCAGGATTCAAAATCGGAACCTAACAAGACGTTTGAGGATTTCAAGTTTCCATGAGTTAAGCCGGGGTTCTGGTGGATATAAACAACACCACTCGCCAAGTCCTCAGCTATTTTAAGACATGACGTCCAGTGAAGCGGCTTCCCGCCTCCTGAAGTTCTTGAACCTGTAAAACAGTTGGAGTATTTCACCACTACAACTAGTCTAAACAAACATTCAAGAAAACTTGTTGAACAAGCGACAAAAACCAACTAAAAGCCAAGTATATAATGATATGAACTAGATTAGCGAAGGAACAACGCACACAGTTACATGACGAGAGAGATAAATAGAAGATGATATATCTCCAGCTACACGGTTGAATCTCTTAAAATAATGGTCAAATGTGCAACATGCAGACACGATAACCAGAGAATTTGAGCCGGTGAGACACTAACATGCTGAGGTCATACTCAAAATTGAAAGGTTGATTAGCAGGCCAACTCCTTTCCAAAGATTGAAATTTATTATTGTATAATTGAGTTCAATTATTAATTACCGTCTGAAAGCCTAAAGGCAGGGAACAAATTTTTGACATAATCTTGTCTTTATTTACCTAGATCTCTTGGAGAATGATGAACTGATGCAGAAAGATTGACAATGACTCATGCCCCACTAAATCAACCTTTTTTTCTTCAGACTATTGGCCTCATGAAAAAGAGATAAATTCAAACTTAAATGCAAAAAAGTAGTCGACGAGCAAGATCATGCATGGATGATCACATAAAAGAGCAATCCCGAGTCAACAAGGCTCTCTTCTTTGTGAGGGTAGAGGGGGACATATATTGTACGCAGTCTTATCCTTACTTTAAAAAGAGGTTGTTTTCAAGAATCAAACCAATGACCTCTTGGTCATAAAAGAGTAACCTTTCGGTTGATCATTCATTGATGATCACAGGAATGATGAAATCCTAGCTATGAGATCTAAGAAGACATTCCCAAATCAGGCTGCAGACTTGTGTGTGGGGTCCAACCCCAATTCAAGGAGTTGAATTTGAAGGGCTTAAATTTGTTTTAAAAACCCAGCCAGCCTGCTCACGTTTCATAGAAATGGAAAGGGTTGAAATTTCCTCTACCAGAAACAACACACAAGCACCAAATTTTTTAGGTTCAGGAATACGTCTTGTTTATAGGATGGCCAACATGGTTTCCAGCCCAGAAACCTGCATGGGGTGGACCCTACGGGCGCCTACGGATGCGGGTGACCCCACACCACTAATTCGTTAGATCATAGCGTCGGAAAGCATCCTCTCTGGATCCCTTCTACCTGAGTCTCCTGATCAACAAATCCGGATTTTTAAAATTTGATCTAACGGCTAAAAAACAAGAGGTTCTATTGAAAGTTATAATAATTTTAACCGTTGGATAAAATTTCAAGAATTTGAATTTGTTGGTCTGGAGGCTCAGATGACAAATCCAACATGACCCACCGTTAAATCAATAATCAATGACCTCTAAAAATCATTAGTTAGAAGTTTACATCACTAAATATGTCTAGTTAGAAAGCTTGTATGACAATCATAGAGATGCTTACGTAGGGTTTTCCGACTAGGGCAACTTTACATGGAATAGGTCTTATATTTTATGAAAAGTGTTCAACGAATAAAATGGTTAGACAAGTGTAATTTTTCTTGTAATTTAGTCACACCCAACTCCACGTTAAACACAAGCTACTTGGAAATTTTATGATGTTAACCAGAAGTTAATCTCAAACTTTGGTACGGAAAACTTTACAAGCTAAACACAACCATAGTGATTATTAAACGAAAGAAATAAATAAAAAAGCAGGTGAACAAGGGGAGTAGATGAGATGAGAGGACCGACAAGACGTACCATGAATAAGTGAAAAGAGGACTGCCATTGGGGAAATAATCGTATACGAGCAGGCGTTCCTCCTTAGCCTGGAAGTAGGCCCTCAGTGGGACCAGGTGTGGGTGCCTCAGCTTCCCTAGCAAGTCCACGTGTCTCCTAAACTCGTCCATCCTCGGGTACATCGCGTCCTTCAACCGCTTCACCGTCACGATAAACCCGGACTCCATCACGGCCTTGTACGTACTTCCCATTGTGCCCCTCCCCAGCGTCTCCGCCGACGCCTTGAGCAAATCCTCCAGACGGTAACCCATCTGCTGATCCCCTGCTCCGCAGAACACCAAACTCCCCAACCCCTCACCTTCCCACGAAAACCCACCATTATTAGCTCCCTTGCCACTGGGCCCCTCCCCTGATCCTCCTCCTCTGTCAGTTGCCAGCTCAGCACCCCCCACAACCCCGCCTTTGCTCCTCCTCGCCTCCCCGCCACCGCCGCGACTCCTCCGGCACACCATCCACAGCAGAACCGAGCAGATTACGACCACCGCGAACCCGCCCACGCTCCCTGCGATTATCTTAATCAGTTTCCCGCGCTTTGACTTTGACTTTGGACCCGGTTGACTGGTGGGACTGATCGACGGCGGAAACGCGATAATGCCCCCGCACGGTTTGTCAAGTTGCACCCCGCAGACATAGACGTTCCCCAAAAACGACGACGCATTGAACAGAATCAGAGTTGGGGTCACCGGAATTTCTCCGGATAGCTGGTTATTCGACACGTTGAAGAACCGGAGGGAGGTCTGGTTGAGCGGTGGAATGGGACCAGTGAACTTGTTGTCCTGCAAGTACAGGACGTAGAGGCGGTGGAGCCTGAGCAGTGACATTGGGATTTCGCCGGAGATTTTGTTTCCAGCGAGGACGACGACTTTGAGGCGGTGGAGGTCGGAAATGGAAGAGGGGAAAACGCCGGAGAAGTTGTTGTCGTTTAGGAAGAGGGATTTGAGGTTGAGGAGGCCGGAGAGGTCGGGGATTTGGCCGGAGAGGGAGTTGCCTTGAAGCTGAGGACTCGCAGCTGGTCGAGCCGGTTCAAGATCTTGTGATCCAGAACCCCCGTCAGGTTCGAATATTCCAGCACAAGCTTCGTGACTCTGCCTCGCAGGCAGTCCTTCACCCCTTCCCACTCGCACACATTGCTTCCCTGCCGCCATGGCAGCACGCTTTGAGGGTCGATTGTAGATTTCAGAGTTAACAGAGCCTCCGCATCTCCTGCTTCTGCCGAACCCAGAAAACCCCAGAACAGCAATGGCAGCAATAAGAAAAAGATTCGACCTTTTTGAGAAACCATTTTTAAAAATCTGCGGATTGAATCGATTTTTCAGACCGACAACATCTCAAAAATGCAATCTTTGAACTTGTATTTTGCTGACTGAGAAAACCCAACTCGCAAATCAGAAATCAGAATCCGAAATGTGTGTATACATATGGAACCTTTTGAATCTCGAAAGCGAAAAGGTTTTGAACCTTTTGAGTTCACTTTCCTTTCTCAGTCTCTGCCTTTGACTCGATCGATCACTGTGCTGATGCTGCAACTGTACCATTGATTGATTCGACAGCTTGAAACAAAAAACAACGGCTTTTGCTTCTAAAAAAAAAGCACTTCTAATTTACTCTACTCCCAGCTGCGGAGGAGGAGCATTTAAGGTGCAGAAAGCCCCATTGGCGAGCTCTGCGCACTGATGAATGGGGAGACACCAAAACTGTGGGGCTTGGGAACACGACATCGTTTCGCGGACATTTACTTGTAATCGTAATTTTATTACAGCGTAAGCTTCACGTGAAGGAAGCTCAGAACTCCACTCCTCTCTATGATTTGTATATTCTTAATCTGCAGGCACAATTGAACCCAATAATTATAACTAAATAAATAACATTTTCTAATTTATGTTTGTTTTTACTTTCTCTTGGGCGGCTCAAAGGCTAAACTTTTTAACCGCAGAGTGGTGAAACCTCAAAACTCAAAAGGGAAAGGGATCCAAAATTTACTCACCCCCGAGTCTTCGATTTCATCAATTTTCAACGGACTTGGCCTTCTTTGCCCTCCAGTTTCCACACTTTCTTCTTTTCTTGTTTGTGCAGTCACGGTTAAGCCACATTAATATTTTATATCATTATTATTTTTTATTCTATTATCTCTATAAAAAAAATCAATATAAAGATTGACGTGACTTAACATTGACCGCACAAAATAGAAGAATATGAGAGTGTATGGGAACCGAAATAACAGAGAAGCCAGGTCCATTTTCAACAGCTAGCTACCCTCTCTGAAATTAACAAGCGTCCGAAAACCTCAGATAAAAAAATGATATTGAAGTTGTGAAAGGATTGAGTGAGTCGACCCAGATAAATGCTGAAACTTGAAAAGGAAAATTACACATAAAAAAATCTGAAAAAATGACACATGTGAACTACCACTTGAATACTCAATGCTTGAAAAAAAAAAAAAACTCTCGAGAACAATAATTTAACTGGGCAAGTAGGTGAAAGAATTGAAACCTTGAGACATTCTTTTGTCACCGATAAATCACATAGTAAGTATTAATGGTGAATGATTTATCTTTTAAACGCCTAATAAGTATTTATTGAGCTAGTGATGCTATTAAACTAGGTCTTAATTGCCTCCTCATAGTCCATGCTAGGGCAGAAGGGGTTGAACTTATGGACTACCAGACATCTTACTCCATCATTGCGAAGAACTTATCCATAAAAAGAGATATTTTTCCTTGGGATCGAAACATAGAAAGTACACTACGTGATTTTATATAAATAGTGTAAAATTGTATTTTTTAAGTTATTAACATTTTAACACACATATCCCTATAATTTGTATAGTGACACGTGAAGTACTACCCTATGTTCCGGTTACACTGAAAAATCTCTCTCATAAAAAATCTTACAAGGTATTTCAAACCAATAGATACATAAATTTTCCAAATGACTCTGATTATTTGTCTAATATGTCACGGTAACAGAGCTAGGTAAGTCTCCTTCCTCATTACTCATGTACAATCATTGGTATTGTACACGTGACAAAAAGCTGGAACAAGTAATTGAGCTCACGTTAAATATCCGGCCCAACAAGAAATGAAAAGAGAGGGTTGAGCTGATCACGTTATCTCACCGCCACTTGGTATTCGGCTCTAACAACTCATGCCAACTGTCTTTCAATCGATCAATACGGTGGTTGACGGTGGTCTTGGCCCGACGACACACCCGCATACGTTGCCGGAGATCTAGGAGGGCCCAAAAGATATCAAATCTCATGCACACAAGCAATCAGCAACTATTATCCAGCTTTTATTTGGGACAATTATAATAATACATTGGTGTGAAAAGACTAATATAAATTAATGGTTAGAAAATCAAAATCAAAGTCATATCAGGAAAAAGATTTATATGAAACGAGCTCTCGTTATTGTGTCGTCTTAATTTAATATCATGTGGCAAGCAGCGAATCTGTTTCAAATACTTTGCTATTATAAGAAAAAGATTGAACACAAAGTAGACCATAGCAGCGGCAGATGCACATTGGGACCAAGGTACCGAACAAGCCTTTATATTCCCTTAAGATGTTACAAACAAAACGCACATAACCATGAGTAAAATATGAAGAACAACTTCGTCGTACAAAGAATATGAAGACAGAAAGTTCTGCCTTGATGCCTATAAGTTATAACCATGCGTGCATTCCCATCTGTGACAAAACACCATGAAACAGAATTTAGAGCAAGAGAGACAAGAAACGGAACCTCAAGCCACCTGCAATTGGCGGCGCCTAGCTGCAGCTTTCTCAAGTGCCTTCAATCTATTAGCTTCCATTCGCACTTTCTGTTCATCTGTCGTCTGACTTTCAGTGGATTCGCTAGCTTCATTGTTTTCGACTTGATTGGTTATTTCTTTCTGGAAACTATCTGCTGCAGATATACTAGCACTAACGGCAACCATCTCACCATGGAACGTCTCAGACGGTTCCTACAATTAGCAAAGCAAAGGACATCAAGCTCTACTTATTAACAAATGGAGCCTTAATCTGAAGACCAAAAGAACTTCAAATAAACTAGATTGAACAAAATTGCACATACTTGAGTAGCTTTCTCATAGATTTCATGAAGCATCTCTTCCTGCATATCATCCACATCATGGTTCCCTGAAGACGAACCCCCCTGGTAATCACTTGGTCCCTCAGGGTTCAAGGTTTCTGCAGGAATATAACAAGATCAGAATTCAACATGGAAACATAAAAGACGATCGTTTTTCCAAATCAGCCTATTTCAAATGCCACGATGAATAAGATTATTTCATATAAACATAAGAACTCCCTACTTAATTATTAAAACAAAGTAACTTAAAATCAATGCAAGTAGATTTCCACTTTGCAATATTATTCTCACCCACTAATCTCTGGTAGTCCGGTGCAGTGATGTTTCTCTCCTCAACATTACTCATAATCCACTCAGCAGCCAATCCTTTATCCTAACATCATATCCCTAATCGAGTTATAACCTAAACGTCTGAGGATCCATTTTCAATCTTCTTACAGGTCTTCTGTTAATGATTTACGGTAATTGCAGCACTCGGTCCTTCCAATTAATACCAAATAACTCTGGCAATAGGCACTCAAGATTTTGTACAAATGATATAATGCCAGCAACTCTAAAAATGTATCTCATCACATGATAAATTAGAACAATTATACAAAAATGACGGAGCATAATACCCTGTTGATCATTTGGAATGCCTTCCTCGGCTGGTGGTTCGCGCAACTTTGTTGGGTCTCCTCCACTTGCAACTCTTTCTCTCAATTCCCTCAGCGTCATCTGCTCAAGAGTGCAGATTAAGAATTAAGCTTTGAGGGAGACTCCAAAGACATTCAAAATAAAAAAGTGAGATATCATCAGTACCTTTACTCGTCTGGTAGCGGCAACTTGTTCAACCTTATGAACAAACTGATCAAATGAGTAATACGGGAGCAAACGCGAATGCCATTGTGTGTACAACCCAATTAGAGTTCCCAAATCTCTAACCTGCAAAAATTGCCCAAAGAAAAATGGCACTTTCACATTTTTCCTCAGTAGTATCACACTTTCGAGAAAATCGCTTCAAACCCAATAACTTAGAAGGGAAGAAGTGCAACATAGAAATTTCACAATTAAGAATCAATTAAAGCAACGCGTCTGGATAACTGAAGGGTTTTCTTCTCTAATCGAGCTTTAATTTATAATTATCGAGTTACTTTTTACCAATTTACTAAAAATATTAACAACTATTATGAATTTTCTTGCACAAAGGAAAAGAAACAAGAGCAAAAGTGAGATATCAGACCTCGTGTCCGCGGCCGCGGTACTTGAAGGCGCGAGGGAAGTGGTGGAGGACGTAGCCGAGGCCGTCATCTGAGAGAAGCAGCTCCGGAGTCAGCTTCGGCCGAGTCTTCGGAACCGACACCTTCTTAACCTTCCCTCCGATCCCAGTACCAGTACCGCTTTTGAAAGGATATGAAGAGGAATTGGGATTGGTGGGATTAGGGTTAGGATTGGGATTGGGATTGGGATTGGGATCGGCGTTAGAATTTGGGGTAGGGGTGGAGGAGGAGGGGCAGTCACGTGACCAGTGGCCTGGTCGGCCGCACTTGTAGCAGCCGGTTGCTGCTGGTGCCTTGTCCATTTTCTTCTTCGGATTTTGCTTTCTGAATCCGACGAGTGGATCGTGATGTTTTGGTATTTTATTTCATTTTCTGGATTTATTTTTTATTTTTAGATTTCTTGGCGGGAAGAATTGGAGGGAATTAGAAAAGGCCATTTAATATATTTAAAATGGGCTCTGACTATGGAAGCTAAGGCCCAAAATTCTCGAGAGATTATGTCTCACACTTCGAATTACTTCTTTTATACTCTTTTAATGTTTTAATATTTGTTTATCAAGTGTTATTTCTTTTCTTCAACACCATCAAACGAATCCAGAATATTCCTTGTAGAATATGAATCTGAAATTCGTCCTCAACCGCTGGATATCCATATAGTGGTTGTTGTGTGACATGTTTGAAGGCATTATTTCATAATCATTCACCATTTGGCATTGCTAATTATATAAATAAAAAACTAGATTTTCATTGCATCCCAAAAAACTGAACTCATAACACAAGAAGAAATTTACAAGGGAAGTCTCGTCACATGCCTCAATTCCTTTCCCCCTCTCCTTCCTCACTCTCTCTTTCAATTTCTTCACAACGAATTCAAATCAACAAATCCTCTAATTCTTTTCTCAAAATTGAGGTATTATGTACAATAATACTTCCCTTGCCAATGCAAGTATCTATATGTATGCGTCACCTGTGATAAGTTTCAGTTTTTAAACAACGGCACCTAACGGGTTTTCGAGGCTCAAGAGTTCATGGACCAATCGTAGTTCTGGTACACGATACTTATATGCCCTCCGTCACCCAAAAGATGTGTCAAAAGACCTGCTCTGGTAGCATCCAAGTAATTCAGGATCCACTTTAGAATTTCCTTTTCTTGTCCAAAGTCACCATTGAACCTGCACAAACGCGCGCGTGCGCACGCACACACACAATATTTGTTTCTCTTCAGCATTGTCTAACCATGACGGTTGCTTTTAGAACAACTAACGAAGGTTTAATAATGACTTCATCACTCACCATTTAATAATTTGGGTGAGGCTCACGGTCCTCTTCTCCAAGTTCACTTCCATTCCACCGCTCTTAAAGAACTCTCTAGCTGCAAATCTCAATTCAGCTTCAACTCCTTGGGGTGAGAAAAATCTTACCGTTGGGCTTGACCTTGTCCCGTTACAGAGTCCGAAGTGAATTAATGGATTCACCCTAGC